TCTCACATTCAAAACTAATTCTAGGTCTGGAACTTAATGGGAGAAATATTCTAAATTCCACTGAGAGATGGCCCTTCACTGATTCTTAGAGGCAGAAACATTTTGCTTTTGGTATGAAGCAGCTCCAGGGACAATGCACAATATTCAGCTTCTTGCATGGAGCAGTGAAACAACTGCAGGTTATTACAAAGCACACAAATATTTTGTATTTAAAATGAGATTCTTACACCTTAAAGCAACTGCCAAAGCATCCATGGAGTTGGAGAAAATAGCTCCCAGGAACAGGGCCTCTGAAATGTCACATACCAGGACAAGTTCTGTTTAAGGCAAGGTAAAATGTGTCTGCATCCCACAGTCATCCTATGTGGAATCTCTAGTTAAATGTACTTATTTGGGTCTCCAAATGTTCTTCTCCAAGCAAGTTGCCAAGGGTCACTTGCTATCCACCTACTCTTGCTTTTAAAAATGCCAGTCATGTGATGAACCATAACTATTAATGGAGATGTTCATTAAATAAAGCAATGCATATTTAGAATATTCATCCTTGCTAGCATAAAAGTGGCTGAAATGATAAAAGTCTTAACAACTCCTGATAAAGCTTTAACCCTAGCACGTGCACGCACGCATGTGTGCACACACACACACACACAAACACACACACACACACACACACACACACACACAGTTAATTATATTCTCAAGGGACTTAAGGGCTCATTTTTGTTGCCCAGCCAAACCAAAATTATGAACCTTAAGAACCTGACACATGACATTTCTCTTGACTTAATTAGGTGTGAGAAAGGAACAAAAGGCACCTTAGATGAAAGAAAGTGAATGCCTATTTTTGTTGCAAATTATCTGTGTATTTCCCACACCTTTGTATAGCTTGGCAAGCTTTCACCAAGTTCTTATCTTTGTTATCTTGCTTGAATCTCACAGTAATCTTCCAAACAAAGCAGGTGACAAAAGTGACTCACATTCTTTTGCAGATGGAGAAACTGAGGTTCCAAGAGTTCACATTGCCTGACAACTAAGAGGCAGCAAAACTCTGCACTGAAAAGGTTTAACCTTTGCTGTTTTTCAAAAAGAACTGAGACCATTTGTCACATAGATAATCCTTGTGTGTGAGTGCTGTGGTGTGAGCTAGGGGGAAAAAAGGAGGAGAAAGCTTTTAAAAGTATGAAAAGAAACAGAAAGCAGATTGAAAGGGAATGATAGCCACAGGAGAGTTTGTGCTAAAATGTGGTTTAGTGCATCAAATCAGCTCTCTGCGCCTCAGAACGAAAATATTAGATGACCAATTATATCTGCAAAACTTAACAGCTCCTAAAACATGGCCCATGAAATCCTTTGACTGGCACCCAAACAAGTCACTGGGCATTGATTTTGGCACATAGTTGAGACTAACCATGTATATCTCGAATGACACAAGACTCACAACTTTAAGATAAAGTTATTTTTTAAAAGTTAATTTTATTGGTACATTTTGGATACATATAATGATCACATTCACCATAGGGAATTTGTACCTGTATATAATATATCTTGATTCTCTTTTTCTCCCCTAATTTCCAGATGAAGTTAAATGATCAAAATAAAATGTTTCAAAAGGTAATAGGTGAAATCAGAACAAAAATTTCTGAGTAAAAGCCAGGAATGATGGTGCATGCCTGTAACTGTAGCTCTTGAGGGTCTGAGGCTCCTTAGGAGGATCACTGCTAGTTTGAGGCAAGTGTGGTCTAACATAGAAAAACCCTGTCTCGAGACAAAACAAAACAAAACAAAACAAACAGGAAATAGTAAACTATTGACTAACGTGGTAGCAGTGCCTCAAATTAATCAATATGCTGTGTGAGAATATCTGAATTAGCTTATCTGAGTCTAAACACAAATGTACAAACCTGGAGGACTATGAATACGTCATATTTGCTTTCGTGAAGAATATCTGTTAGGAGGAGGTAGGTGGCAAGGTGCAAAGAGTTAGCAGGAATTCAACACGGTGCAGCGGGGCGGTTACCGCCAGTCACTGAAATACCAGTGTGCAGCAGATACCTCACTAGGGGCCTCTGAGGATCCCTACATGCAGCGTTTATGCTCATCTAGCCCAGCCACTAAGGTACATAAAGAGCTGGAAAAGGCTGCCGAGGTGGAGTGTGTAGTCTTTGGAAAGTGCTCTTTTAAAGTGATAAACTGGCTTTCTGATTTATAGTTCAGTTCCTGGAGAGACCATGGGTCCTTTTCTTCATGTTACTGCAGCCGTATCTTTGCTATTTCAAGGTCTGTAGCCTTAGTCTATGCTTCTGCCTCATTGTAGTGAAAGGATTTTTATAAAGTGATCTTTGTTATTTACCTAGGGTCACGTAGCTGAGCAGGGACAAACCCGTTTCCTTCCCCTGCCTACTCTATTTATATTATATATTTGGGAGTTGAGCAAGTTTGATGGAGGTTGGGAGTCCCAGTGGAATAACGTAGATTCAAATGGATTTCCCTTCCTTAATTGGATTAGGATATATATATATATACTTCTGTTGGGCACATATATACTTCTGTTGCCTTTATGTAGTCCTCATGAATAAAAATTTAACTCACCTATAAATGAGTGTCTCTCAATTTTCTCCACCTCACTAGACACATGTACAAAATGATGACTATTTAAAACCATATTTGGATGGAGCGTACTGAAGTAAATCAGGCTGTCTGTACCTATCCAAGGGCAGGAGACTGAATAGTGTCACCCACCTACGACAAATTTGCCAATCACATTTGCTACACTGTTCTACTGTGATCCCTCTCGAACTAGAGTGCTACCAGAAACAAAGCTAGTTTAGGTCATTTTCTCTGGCCACAGACCGAATCAAATTTCCCTGTAAGATCCACGTTGAACCTAACAATTGAAGTTGGTTTGGTTCTTGTCCAATTCAACTTTTGATGAGAGAATCACGGAAGAGTTAAGTTCATAAACAAGGCACCACTGTGTCCCCACTGTGTGACAGGCCTTCCTTCTCACTCCGCAGAGGGCTGAAGCTGGTGAAGGTAAAAGCTCAGGTCACTGTTATACAGAGCCCCTAGGCAGTGACTACCAAAAATCAAAACGGAAAGTAAAAACCTCAGGGAGAACATAATCAGGAAACTCGAGCAACCAGTATGGTGATTTCAAGTGGGAGGTAAGACAATGGATTTGAAGAAAAATTGAAAATTGGTGAAAAAATAATCAAGATAGATCTTTTTATGGTCCACATTCAAGTTACCTATTAATATATAACAAACCACTGTGACTTCAGTGACACAAAGCAAAAACATTCACTCACTACTAATCCATTTTGGTCTCGGGAGTTGACTGGGCTTAGGAGAGCCTGTTATGTGGCTATGTTCAGATGATGTCTGGGGTTCAAATATGAGCTTAATTATGGTTACTGGCTTGGACTTTGGCTGGGCAGTCAGCTGAAACAGGTACATGTGATTTCTCCACATGGGCTTCCTTGTAGCATGGCAGCTGGGTTCCAAGAACAAGTGTCCCAAGAAAAATCCAGGGGGGAACTGCATTACCTGTTATGCTCTAGTGTTGGAGTTAACATAGTCTCACTTTTCTATTGATTGAAAGGTCCACGCAATTTCAAGGCTGAGGAGCACAGACTACTTTTTTTTTTGAGAGAGAGTCTCCCTATGCAGTTCAGGTAGGTGTTGAATTCACCATATAGCCCAGCCTGGCCTTGAACTCAAGGAGATCCTCCTGCCTCAGTTTCCCAAGCATTGAGGTTTCAAATAGGCACCACCACACCTGACTGACTTTGTCTCTTAATAGATGGTAAGATCACATTGCACACACTTACATTCCCAGCATTCCAGGACACTGAGACAGGAGGATATGAAGTTTGAATACTTCAACTGGGCAGTTTAGGAATTTAGCAAGACCTCTTCTTAAAATTTAAAAACAACAAATAAAAAGGGCTAGAGATGTCATTCAGTGTGAAGATCCTGGGTTCCTATGACAAACAAAACAAAACAATCCCACACTTCTGCATGGGATGACAGATACTGTTATGGCCATCCTTGGATGATACAGTCTGCCAGTTTATCCTCTGGTTACAGTGACTCATAACCTCCCATGTACAAAACATATTCATTCATCTCATCCCTCAATCCCTAGATATAACTGCTTTATGGCATCAGGGCATACATCAGGGAAGAACAAAAACCGAGGAATTCCCAGGGACTCCTTCCCCATTCCTTTGAGTAGAAAATGGTTCTCTTGGAACCTCCTCTTTCCAAGCCACTCAAGCGGTTCTGGCCTCTGGCTGGCCTACATCTCCAGTGGTGATATGGAAGGGAAACAACCCAGGACATTCTCCACTGGTCGTTCTTGGAGTTTTGATTTTCCTCACCAATATACCTGTCATTATTTCCTTTTCAGAGTCCTTGTTAGGTGCTTCATGGATTCTCTTCAGGGTTCTTAGATGTAATCAGCAAGACAGACACTATGGCATCTGCTCGCTCCCTTAGTTTTAGAATTGTTTGGTGTTTGGGGGGGAGGGGCTAGGAATAAGAAACCATTTCGTTTTCAAACTCAGCAAAATTTTGCTACCTTTATACTTAACTGTGTCCTTACCATCTTGCTACTGTTATCCTTAACTGTGTCTCTATTCTCTCTGATTATATTGTAGGCACCTAGACACCCAGTGGTATTTTCAACACTGCCTGGAAATCTCCTTAAATAAATCATGCAGTTCATTGACATAAGTTTTATTTTGTAAGTTACCCCAGATTTCAGTGTTGCTAAACTTCCACCACTACATACAAACATCTTTCTTTCAGACTCCAATAATATTTTTTTCATATGTATTAAACTTTCACTGACAGACTTATCAAGCACCTACGTCTTCTGTCCAGTGCCCAATTCCAAGACAGTTGCACACACTATAGGTTTGTCTAATAGCAGCAATGATTCTTGTCCTCAATTCTGTATCAGCCAAAGTTTGATCAGAGAAATAAGACCACCTTCATCAGAATAAGGACTTTATTGAAAAGGTTAATGCTTACATGGTCATAGGAGCTGATTGAGCATTTGCTACAGTCTGTCACCACGTATCCAGGCCTGGGCTTGAGATCATCAGGGCTAGATTCATGAGGAGAAGATGGAAGACAGCGAGCGAGATGGAACCCATAGGATGATCAGAAACCAACGTGTCCTGCCATATTGATCTCTCCTGGCTCCAACTTCACGGATGAAGGGCACTTTCAGAGAAGTGGGTGAAGTTTCTGGTGATGGTATCACAATGGTGGGAGGACTTGCAAAAGTGATCATGTCCCTACAGGAAGCCAAGGACTTGGTTAGGGGTGTCCCTAACCACTCAGTGTCCCCTCACTGTCCCCCACTTGCTCTTTTATGACAACCCACTCTCATAAGAACTCACTCTGAGAAATCGGCTTTAATAGCTTCTGAGGGCTACGCTCCAATGACCTAAAGCTCCATCTTTTAAAGGTTCTATCACCTCTCAACACTACTACATTGGAATGAAGCATCTACACAAGTTTGTACTCCAAACTGAGAGCTAACTACAACCAAAGCATGGGGAAGTGGGAAGAACTCACAAAAGTAGTGAAACTTAATGTTTATGAATCAGTGCTATTAGATAACAAATATAAATGAGTAAATGTCTAGATTAAGTTTGAGTTAAATAGGATTGAAATCATTGTCAGTACTACAGTGGACTCCACTGTAATTTGTGGGGATTATATTCCTAGAATATTCATAAATTGGAAAGAACCAGAATTTCAGATAAGGCCACAAGAGGGTTGAAGATGTAGCTCAGTAGTGGAGTGATAGTTCAGTATGTCCAAGGCCCTGGGTTTAATCCTCAGCACTGTCCCCCACTCCAAAAGTTCTGTTTCAGGTGTGGCCACAAAAATGTCTATAAATGCCTATTTGTATGGTTTAAATTCTAAATATACTAATCCAGTAGTTCAACCTTCTCCTGGAGCATCTTAAGCTTCTGTCTTAGCCTCATTGCCAGAAGCCTTAGAAGGTACAGGGTGTTCTGGCAGCATCTTAGAGCTTTAAGAAGAACAGAACCTAGAACACTCCGGATAGTTACATGTCAACTGCAAGCTGTTATTGTGGGGGAAATGCTGGTGCACCTGTCAGATGGGTGAGAGGGCAGCAAGGAGAACTGAATGAAGCTCTCAGATTGGCTACTTGCTACTTGGAAGTTTCTGTGAAAAATCATTAATTGGGTTCTAAGGAAAAATCCTGAGTCGGAGGCCTCAAACTCTGAACCACAGAGGTATATACTGTATTTTCAAATGGATCGTCTAGACACTACTAGGCTTTCTGTTTGTCACCATAACAAATACCCCAGACTGAGTAGCTTGAACAACAGTAATTAGTTTTTTACATCCCAGAGACTTCAGAGCTTTAAATCAAGGCACGGGCAGGATGTTTTCTTCTGAATCCTCCCAGGCTGAAATGCGTACTTTTTCCCTGTGTGTCCACAAGCGCATTTATCTGTGTGTGCACATCCAACATTTGCCTGTGTCCTACTCTCCTCTTTGTATAGGGACATTGCTCATATTCCATTAGGGCCCACTGCAATGATCCCATTTACCTTAGCTACCTGTCTAGAGGTCTTATTCCCAGATACAGGCACATTCTGCGGCACTGGTTTTGGAGATTCAGCATATGAACTGGGTGTTGGGGGGAGCCCAATTCAGTCCTTAACATTGTCTATAGGACAATCGAGCTTGAGAACTACTACAGGCTATGTTTTCCTTTTGGAGATTCACAAAGTATCTGCATTAAAAAATTATGCAGTCTTTCAAAAACGTTCATTTTTCACTCACCTTGCTATTTAATGTATTATTTATTGATAATCCTCAACCACCATCTTCTATGCACTGGATGATCCTACTGAGGTACTGAGTGGTGATATTATCTGTGCCTGTTGCTGGCAGTCAGGAAGGGAAGCTTGGAAATGAAGTTAGGGAGAGCCGACTCTCAAGGGGATGAGCCAGAAATTGGATTTGCTCCTCACCAGAACTCAAGTTGGTTATAACACCTTCGAGCATCAGACTTTGAAGACACCCAGGAACTGCAGAGAGAAAAGAGTTGGCAAGGTGGTTTGCCCTTTCCTTCTGGTGCAAAGGGACCTTCTAGAGTGCTAGGGAGCTTGGGGTATTTTTGCTGATCTATAGCTGAGGCCGAGTAGTCTCCCTACAACTGTGCCGTTTGTTCTGTACTTTACAGACAAGGAAAACAGCAGAGCTGTGGATGCCATTGGACTCCAGAAAGGCTGAGGGAGGATCCACATAGGAAAATGTGGACAGAAGTAAGTGGATGGGGGCTCAGTGATAAGAGGCACTGGCCTTGCACAGTCAACTAGTTCAGTGGTGGAGCCCCACCACACTCCAGCTTCAGATATTCTGCAACAGCCGTATCTGTACACACCATCTGTTCAGCCTCTCCTGGCTTGTGGTCTGTTTTCTGCTTCCTACTCACTCTACCTATCCTAACTGATGCTCTGTTCAGCAACTCTGGCTCAGAGTTTGGCTTTCCGTCTTGACTCTAATTAGTCAACTCCCCTGTGGGCCTTGGACCTGCAGTCTCAACAATTCCCAATTCCCAAAGTTCTAGCCTTGCAATTGCATTTCTGACTCAAACCCTAAACTCACTGTTTCTCTTCAGCCAGTGAAGGTTCTGTGAGCTACCTTCACCCCTGAGCAAAATGATGGTCTTCTCTATTCTTGCAGGCTCTCTTATCACAAATCATCTCTGGGTAGCCCCAGGAGGATCTGTTAGTGTGTAAGACTAGCTAGGCCTCAGCACTGAGCTCTTTGTAGTCCGGTGAAGATGGTGCTATGGTAGTAACGTGTCTGTCTCTACTCTACCTGGTCTGGCACATTAGAACAATACCAACAGCTTTGTTTGAGCAAGATATAGGGCTAGCTATTTTCCAGGTATTATTTCACCTCCTCAAAACCCCCTGGAAAAATAAAGAACATACTGTCTTAATTTTACAGAGGAGAAAAATGACTCTCAGAGAACAACTCTGCACAGTTAATGTGTTGGAGCACTGAGTAAGACCCATGACTCCTGACTTGAAGGCCAGCGCACCATGGGACCCTCATACCACTCTTAGCTAAAATCAGGTCTCACTCCAGCCTGGCCCTCCCTCTCTAAGAACTTACACCATTTTCTCCTAAGTCACAGTTCAAAAGTTTCCTCAGTAGCCGCAGTCAGAATGATTTTCTTGGTATTTGCTATTCTCAGAGCCACTGAAATAATTTCTTTTTTCTTTTTTAATCGGTACTGGGGATCGAACTCATGACCACCTGCTTGCAAGGCAGGTGCTTATGCCGCTGAGCTAAATCCCCAGCCCCTTGAAACAATTTCTGTAACAAAAACCACTTCTTGGATTGCTTTGGAAAATATGTATTTTCTAAATTAAAATTGTCATATGCTATAAGAGTTACTCATCTGAGAGATCTTGATGGCTTTATTTCTGGCTCAGTCTTGATTTCTTATCTCTGCAGTTTGTTTTCTCACAGCCTCTGTCTCTCAACTCTGCCTAGGAAATACAGACCCTCTGCACTGCACAGAACATACTCGCATTCTAGAAACAGCTCTTGAAATCTCTTGTACATTTTCCCCTATATTTTTAAGAACTTGATACATTTAAAGATGTGCCAACTTAAATACTTTTTAAGATACAATATTGTGGGGGTCGCCACAGCGTATTTCTTAAGTAAAATTTTGTGTTGCTCTTTTATGGAATTAAGAGAAGGCTAGTGCCACAGTGCATATTTCTTTAAGGACTATTTAAAAGGCAGTTTTACAAATATTTTCTTACTGGTGCTTACGCGATCTCTAAGAGAATTGGCTAGTTCATGTTTCTGAGATAAGGAAACAGGCTCAGAGTGGAAAGATGACTGGTGTGCTCTGGCACTGAATCGGAAAGAGGAAGTTTCCCAGTTGAGGACTGATGAACTTATGCACAGTTGACTGAACAATTCACCCCCAAGCCTCCACCGAATTCTGGGGATTGAATCCAGGTCCTCGGCCGTGCTAGGGAAGCACCGAGCTGCATTCCTGGCCCATGATCTAACTTTTGTTTGGAGACCTCCAGACTCCTTCTTTGGTAGACTGAAAGAAAGAACTCCATCCTATCTTGGAGGTTCCATGTACACATTTATGTTAAGAGTTTTTGGCTATACTTTTTGCCTTGCCGGCTATGATGGGCTACACATGTGGCTGAAATGACACGGGGAGTGTCAGTGACATTCCTTTTGGCCCCTTGAGTCTGGGATACAGAAGACACAATCTCTTTGTCTGACTTCTTAGTCTCCTGAGTGCAACAGGTGAGGATCATCCCTTCACATCAATTGCAGAAGGTGTCACCATGTCGGTGGACTTCAGAACCAATAATAAGCTCAAGAAAGCTTCTCATGGCTTCACCACTGTTAGAAATGAAAGGATCTTAAACCACAGCTCTCCATCAAGGTTCAGAAACTGGCCATTTAATGGTTAAGAGAAATAGTCCGATAGCGTGTGACTTTCTGCTGACTTTATGCAACTTAAGTGAGACTTTAGGAGAAAGAACTAGCCATATGAAAAGCTGGAGAAGAGAATTCCAGGAAGAGGGAGCAGGAAATAGGGAACACTGAGAAGGGACGGCACAGGGCGAGTTTCAGGAACAGAAAGAGGCTGGTGTGGCTAAAGCAGGGGTTGGCAAACTTCTTTTGTAAAGGGCCAGCTGGTAGATATTTTAAGCTTTGCAGGCCATTCAGTTGCAGTTTGCAACTGCTCAGCTCTGTTATTTTAGTTCAAAAACAACCCTGAGTGATACATAAATGAAAGAGTATGGTTGTGTTGCACCAAAACTTTATTTATGAACACTGAAATTTGAATTGCATATGGTTTTTATGTGTCACAAAATATTGTTCTTTTTCCCCCCTAATAATTTAAAAATATAAGAACTGTTCTTGGTTTAAGGGCTGTACAAAAATAGGAAGTAGCTGAATTTTGTCTCTAGACTGTAATGTGCTGATCCCTGGGAGAAAGCATATGTACAGGAAAAGGAAGAGTCCCTGGTGAAATTGTAAGGGTAGGTAGGCAAAATTCAGACTGCACACAGAGCGAAGGTTTGTAGGCCATTAAAGGGAGTGTGAATTAGTCTAATTGCCATGGGAAATGTGTGAAGAGCTTTCGGCAGGAAAATGATATTTTAATAGCACTCAGGAGCATCTGAACAGAATGAACTATTGGGAAACAGAAGTAGCAGCAGACATAACAGTAAGGAATGTGCTCTAGCAGACCAGGCAAAAAAGTTCAAGCACTGAACTGAAGATTAGATCCCCAACCTCAAGCAGAATAGCCTATCAGCGTGTTATGTAAAGTCCTCAAGCAACCAACAGAGTGGCTGGAATACACTCTACACTCTGTGAATGTTCTAGCTGATTTCCTTCTTTTTTGTGTGACAAAAGCTGAGAGTACTTGGCTTAGTCCAAATCTCTCACTAATCTCAGAAAAATAAGTCAAACGATGTCATTAAAAGTAGACATATGTTTAAATTTTGTTAAAGACGGTGACAGCATATGTATGCATACCCACATATGATGGTTAATTTTATGCATCACCTTGACAGCACGAAGGGAAGCCCAGGTAGCTGGTACCACATTATTGCTGGACATGTCTGTTATAGTACTTCTGAAAGACATTAGCATATGGATTGGTAGACTGATTAAAGAAGCGTGGCCCCCACCAATGTGGGAGTATTGTCCAATCTACTGAGGGGATACCAGAGTAAAATATGAAGAGGGGAAATTCCACTTCTCTCTCCAATCAAGAACATCACATTCTTCTCTTGCCCTTGGACATCAGACTCTAGATTCTTGGGTCTTCGCACTTAGGCCAGGACTCACATCATCATGTTGGCAGGTCCTCAAGGCTTCAGACTTGGACTGATTTATCTCACTGGCTTTTCCGAGTTTTCCAACTTGCTGTTGGCGGTCTGTGGGACTTCCAGGGTCACAAGTGCCATACCTGCGATGTCTTTTTCTCTCCCTCCCTCCTGCTGCATATATGCAGTGGATGGACACTTTTACAGTGGGGTTTGGCACATTTGGAGTCCAAACATGGTGGAGAGAATGCTCACAAGAGATCACAAGCAAGACAGGAAGTTAGAGGATTCAGGGGCCAGGCTTGCGATTTTTTAAAAAATGACAACTGACTCTATTGAGAATCAGGTTTCCAAAGGAACCACACTAAGTCCTTCCAAATGTGGCACACCTAAGGACCTAATCACTTTCCACTAGTCTCCATCTCTTAAAGTTCTATCACTTTAACACCAACACCCTGGTGACCAAATTTTCAGTTGGTGAACTGTATATTTGGGGGGATATACTCAAGCCATATCCAAATTACAGTGTTACCTAGTTGTTTAGCTTTGTGCTTGGATGAGGAAAGTGTCATGCTGATGTAATATCAGTTTCCTGATAATTGCTCAGAAGAGGTAGAGGAAACTGCATTAAAGCACCCACTTTTCCCAAGGTGTATGAACTTATGCTGTGGGCTTACAAGCAACGAAGAGTAGAAATGTACACGGCAATTTATTCTTCAAGTATAGCCAGCAAACTGGATCCACCAGCTGCCGGCTTCTTTCTCAGTCCAAAGCCTGCCTAGAAGGCAGTTGTGTTGGTCCTTTAAGGTGATGTAGGAGAACTCATTAGCACAGGGACCTTTACAGTGGGAGCAGGACCCACGCTGGCACAAGGTGCATACCCTTAGCTGTAATGTTACCCTTAGGAAGCTCTAACCCATCACGCTGTAGCAATATAGAAAAAGACTAAGATGGACCATTTAGGCAGAGCTCATAGGGAACTGCAGTGACTGCCTATTTAGGAATCACCACGTGGGTCCGTTGGCTGATTTGTGGTCAAAGGACTCCTACCAGAAGACCTCTGAAGAGAATAAACATAGTGTGCAGTCAAGAAATATCTATTTATAATTAATTATTCATGGAAGTTTATGTAGAAATACAAACACAAATGCAGACATCCATGTACACTAGACTACTTAAAAATTAAAAATCAGAAATTAAAATGATTTTAATTTTCCTGTTTAATTTTGTTTTCATTTTTGTATTATCATTTTTTTCTCAATACAGGTGGTTGACATTATTAACATGATATACACACCTTCACCCTTTGAAATTAAAACTTTTTAGGAGAGTAGGTCACTGTTGTCTTTGCATGAGAGGCCAAAATATGAACATTCTCTTGAACCCTGATTTTTACTTTTGTATTCAAGTATGTGTGATATTGGGGATTGAACCCAAGGCCTTTTCATTGAGCTGCATCCCAGCCTTTACTTTTGTTTTTTAAACTTTCAAACAGGGCGGGGCTGGGGATTTAGCTCAGCGGCATAAGCGCCTGCCTTGCAAGCAGGCGGTCATGAGTTCGATCCCCGGTACTGATAAAAAAGAAAAAGACAAAAAAAAAAAAAAAATCAAAACTTTCAAACAGGGTTTTACTAAGTCACTAAGTTGCCCAGGCTGGGCTTATACTTGAGTTCCTCCTGCTTCAGCCACCTAGAAGAGTGCTGAGATTACAGGCATGTGCCACCACCACACCCAGCCATCAGATATTCTTATTTGTGGGTGCATAACATCTCCCAGAATGAATCAACTACAGTTTACTCAGTCATTCGCTACTGACAGATATTCAAGTTCCGTTAAGTAACTTTGCTACTACGTAAACGTCTAATGTAGTCAAATGTTTGGCTATCATTGTGTATTATTAACTTTAGGAGGATACTGTTTAATATTTAGAAAAAAGATAAAAATAGAGATAAAGTCAAGAAACAGGTGTTAAAGGAGCAGATACATGAAGTCATAAAGTTTTACTGGGACTGGGTTCCATACCTTTTCATCTTGCAGCAATGATCCTGTCATTGCAGGCTTTTCTCCCAGTGTACAATGCAAGCACGCTGGGATCAGGAAGCAATCCTCCTTTCTCCTGTCCTCCTCCGAAGTGCTGAGCACAGCACTGTGGTGGACAAATGGTCCCAGACCCAGCCCTTTGGTGTGCTCTCACGGAGACTCCTGAAAATAGCGGCTTAGATGCAAATGAAATTTACCCATGTACACAATGTAATAAATGTGTGTAGCCCCAGATCACTCCTCAACTTACTTTTAACTCAGAGCAAAGGTAAACCACACACTTATAATATCAGTGTTTCTGTGAGAAAACAATGTTCTCAATTCCAAATGAGGATATGGGTACAAGGGTACAAAGAGCCTTCTACTACCTTGTCTCTCTCTGTGTGTGTGTGTGTGTGCATGACAGAGAGAGAGAGAGAGAGAGAGAGAGAGAGTCCTTTTCCTCATTGCCCAAATGAGATATTCTTCTTTTTCTCATTCTGATAATCTGGTTATATATGGAAATCAAGAAAGCAAAATAGGCGATAGTCCTCATTTGTATTTGAGATCTAACAATTTGAATTTATTGCTAATAATATAGCAAGTAGAATTTGCATATAAGCGAAATGAAATTAATAATTAAAGATTATTTAATTTATACCGATTTATTTGAATTCTCATTTTTTTCAAATAGCATGTTTAAAACATTTTTAAGTTTAAAAAAGATTTGTGAATTATTTTTATATTTCAGGACCACTAAATTCCAAGTTTATTCATATACATTGTATGTTGCTCTGGACAAACAATATTTGAACTGTTAGGAATAAATCCTTTTGAAAAGTAAATATTTTAAGAAAATGCTAGGAGAAAGGGCATAGCATGTTTAGGAGATCTTCTATGTCACTTGAAGATAAATAGATGTAAAAATTCTCAACAAATTATAGTTTAAGACCTTGGATATAAACTTCAGTGTTTTCTTTTTAACATAACTATGGAAATAAACAGCTAAAAGTTACAAGTAATTTATACATAAAAATCACAAGAGTATCAGAGTAAATTTCTGAAATTACCTATCAGTTATCTTTAAAAAGTTATCTAAAATTTTACAGTAATAAAAATCCATTCTCAAAAATGGTAAAAAAAAATTTCAAGACAAAAAAAGCTACTCATAGTCTCGTCATTCACAGGCAACCACTGCGAATATCCTAATCAACTTCTCTTTAATATTTTGTATGATCATCTTCTTGGTTTCATACATCTAGAACTTAATTTTCCCTTTATCCTTAATGTATAACATAAATATTTCCCACTATTTTACACATAAGTTCATGGTAAACAAAAAATATCCAGAAACAAAAAAATGTATATAGGCGGCCAGTTAAAAAGAAGCATTGTGAGAGACGAAAGGGTCAGAGATAGTGCTCTTCCTGTTCCTCAATTAGGAAAAAAACGATTGTCATAAAGTGTCAAAAAAGCATGACATCAACTGCCTATGTTGTGAAACGCGGTCACAGTTCTGCTCGTTCTGTATTGTTCAAAAGGCATTTTTTAAAAAAATTAAGATGGGAAGTGAAACAAAGAAAAACAGAGACAACACTCGCGCAGCTGCGCTGGTGAGGGACCCACGAAGTCGGCGTCTGACCTGGAGCCTCCGCCTGCCTCTCGCAGCGTGAACTTGCTCAGCGGTGATGCCTGCACACGGTGTTGCTGGGCCTACACGTTTCCTTCTCTCCTTCGGTCTCACGGTGTTAGAGCACAGCTGGTTGTTCTCCTGATTTAACTATAACGATTGAAACTGAAATAAGACTAACAGTATTTGTAGCTTTGGGTTTTTCTTTTCTTTTTTTAAAGCAACAGAATCTTTTTCTCAAATGGCACCCCATGCTGGGTGTGGTGGTCCACATCTGTAATCACAGCACTAGGGAGGCTGAAGCAGGACTAGCTGGAGTTTAAGGCCAGCCTGGGCTGTGCAGTGAGTTTAGGACCAGCAAGAACTACATACAGTAACAACAACAACAACAAAATAAAAACAAAAATCTCAACAAAAACAAAAAAAGAAAACAGAAACCAAACAATTTTTTGGTTTAAAGGAAGACAGCCTAAGAGCTGATACCCAGAGCTTGAAGCTGAAAAAATATGTGATTGACTGTTAAAACTAATATTACTTTCAAATTACAAAGCAGTTGGGTTAAGTTATGATGTTTTATTTATGCTGATTTGCATAAAAATTAGTTTGATGGAATCTACCTGGTAAGGAATTTCTGATGAAGAAAAATCTGAAGATTTTCAGAAAACCAAAACGTGAGATGTGGTTGTATAGCTCAGCACTAGGGCCCTTGTTGAGCATGTGGGATGTCTCAGGTTTAATCCCCAGCATTGAGAAATAAGATGACCCCAACTTTGGAATGGATATGGATTTGTGGAGACATATCACTGTGGTCTCCAAACAGTTTGAGGAAAACTGTGTGTGTCTGGAATTAATAATTGAATACATATATTTAACAACTGACAATCAATTTATTAACAAAGTTATCTTAGCATCTGCAGTGATGAATTCCACCTTCCCTCCTGGCTCAATACTGATGGAAGTTATTTGCTTAACCATCTCATAGCGCAAGTCCGTGAGTTGCTTGTGGATTTTCATTTGGGAAGGATCTTATGTCTTAAAAACACGGACTGCTTCATGAATTTGTGTGTTATACTTGCACAGAGGCCACGCTAATCTTCTCTGTATTGTTCCAGTTTCAGTGTGTGTGTTGCCAAAGTGAGCACGATAGCTCCTTTTTTAAACGGAAAGGCGGTTATTATTCAGAGGGGAGCCATTAATTAAATTAATGTCATTTATTTGTGGAGATGAAAATCAGACTGAAAGTTAAAGGTGAAAAAATATTTTGACTTAGGAATTCAAAAATAGAATAACAAAGACTAAATATAGATAACACTGTGTTCTCAGCAAACTCATCCGTAATAGGACTGTAGCTGTCTCATTAATAGAACAGTTGCAAATTCCTCTAAGAAATCACCTTTCGAACCCTCCGAATCTTGGCACTGCCCACAGAAGTTGAACTCCTTGCTTTGGCCTCTGCCAGCTCGCCTGCCATGTTCCAGCCCCTCTTACCCACACTCTCACCTCCAGAGCCTCAACCCTCTCTGTCAGTTCCAGAGCCTTCTGCCTCTTAGGACTTCGGCTCCCACTTGCCTCCGCTTGGGCACTTACTGCACAACTGGACCCCACGATGGGCTAAACTGTCTTTCTTTCCTGTAAGTTCATCCAATGCTTACCTCCAGTACCTCAGAATGTGAGCTTATTTGAAAGAAAAAAAATGGTTGTGGCAGATGCAATTGGCTGCAAAGATAACACATTGGAGCAGGGTGGGCTCCTAAGCCAAAGTAATCAATACTGCTTGCAGCCTTAAAGTGTGTGGGGGGATGTGGATACACTCACACAAATACAGGTCAGCACCCTGTAAACATCAAGGAAAAGATCCAATGATGTGTTTACAAACCAAGAGAAAACCAAGATTTCTGGCAAACCGCCAAGAGCCAGGAGGACAAAACACACTGTCCCCCCACTGCAGCCTTCAGGAGCCAGCTCCGAGGACATCTTGCTCTCTTTTAGTCTCCATAACAAGGACAATAAGCTCCTGTCATTTAAGCAACTAAGTCTGTGGGACTTTGTTCCAGTAGACTAGAAAACTGATACAGAAGCTTCTCTTCCTCAGGGTTTGGCTCAGGTCATTTCCATGGAGGAAGTGTCCCTGACACAATACTCTGTCAAAGCTCCTTGTTTATCTCCTGCAGAGCACCATGCAAATCAGTAACTCTTTTATTTGATGCTTGTTTCTTGCTGTCTCTCCCTCACGGGGCATCGGTGGTGGGAGAGCAGAGGGCTTGTCTGGTTCTTTTTTTTTTTAAATTTTATTTAAAAGGAAAAAGAGAAAAAATAGGACAAAACAAAACAATGTAAGGGTACAAGTAATACAGAACTATAAAAAAAAAAACCAAACAAACAAAAAAAAAAAAAACAGTAAGAAATCACCAGTCTGGTTCTTACAGCCTTCCCTGGAGCTCTCAGGATGGTACATGGTGAACCCAGTGGGAACTGATGAGCAGACCAAAGGTGAATCGGGTAGTGCCAGGAGTTGTACCTGGGAACTGTCAGTCACATAGACGAAGTGGAGACACTTCTAGGAAGCGAGAGAAATTAACAATACTCTTATTCTTGTATTTTATGTCATTCTTGAGTCTTTCTGATTGGCAAATTTCCAAACATTTTCAACTCTCAAAATGCTATGACATGTGGCAAGAAGACCCATCCAAAGCCTTAGGATTCACTTAGAAATAGTAGAAGTTGTAGAAAAAAATTCTTCAGATATAGTGCTGACCAGTGAATCAAGTGGTTTGCTGAATTTGTTATCAATTTGAAATTAATATCTTTAATTCCTAAAGCTGTTATATCTTCTCTAAGGAATTTAAGAGAAAGCTATAGACACTTTTTCCATTAATTTTTAAAGTTAAAAGCAGTGCTTCATAGTTTGTCACCAGAGAGAAAATGAATATTTCACAGACACTTGAGAAATTATGGTAAAAACAATTTACAGTTTTCAAAGTTGAATGTCTTCCCTTTGGATGAGGAAAATGATCACACACATGTATATATGTGCATGTATACACACAGAGATAATCCTGGAAATTTTTGAAAGTGTTTCCTTCCTTTCATCTGAGCAGAACAAAATGAATATTTATTATTATGGATTGGGCAATATATTACTCAATTTAAACTCATGATCTGCAGAGAACAATTGCAACACAATGAACTTCATTTCAGAATTTCCAGTACAATGGAAAGAAACACTGTATGATGTAATAGTCAAACACCCCCAAGATTTTCTCCACCTTGGTGCTAGTGTTCCTTGAACTTTGATTAAAAGCTTTTTCAACTTTGTCACATCCTACTGCCTCAACTAGAATTTAACTTGGCTTCATTTTTATTTAGTCTGGACTTCACAATAATGTTCTTTGCTATGCAGGACTATTATCCATGGCTTTGTATTGATCAACTGCTTTGGCAAGGGTGGAATCCACATTTTCCATGTATTCTGGAAACATAAGAGAGATCCAGTGGTCAGGACAGAAGAGGTACCAGGGATTCTGGGGAGAAGACTGACTGATAGCTGACAGGCTGAGCACCTCCAGATTTACGCCCAGCTGTAAACACTTCTGCTGCAGTGTGCCATCATATTACATATTCTTAACTTTAGTGTAAAGTTCTAAAAGCTGTGATAAGAAGTGGAGATGAGGGGCTGGGGATTTAGCTCAGCGGCATAAGCGCCTGCCTTGCAAGCAGGCAGTCCTGGGTTCGATTCCTGGTACCGATAAAAATGAAAAAGACCAAAAAAAAAGTGGAGATGATGCCCGTGTCACTCGTGGGCTGCTGCAATAGAAACCAACATGTCAAGAAACTAGACTGAAAGAAATTCTTGGAGGGAAGTGATTGTCATTCTGGATACACTTCTGTGTATCCAGACTGTGAAAGCTTCCTGGGTACTCAGCATATGTTTGCTACTTGAATAATTATTTTATTAATACATTCTCATTTATTAGAAAAATAAAAGCCAGCCATAGGGGTCCATTCAGCATGTATCTTTAAATTACCTCAGTTACAGTCCAGTCATGGAGAAATGGAGAAATCTATCACTGTCCCGTTGAACTAATCACTGTCCTCACTCATTGCCCCTGAGAACAATTTAGTCCTTACAGTACCAAGGTAGACAGCTTAGGATGTTCCGTTCCATAGGTAAAATGTTCCATGTTACATCAATGAGAGTTCTGGTTTCCCAATACAAGTCTGCTCAGGTACGATTTTATATTAGACTAAGGTGTTTGGTCAGACATGTTTGACATGCAAATACTACCTTTCCCATAGGCTTCCAAAAAGGTTGTATTTTGGTCTGTTGGCCCATTTTCCACAGAGATGTATGACTGTTACACCTCATCAAAGAGTTAAGCAATACTTCCTGACTGTGTGTATTAATACCATGTGGATGCTTGGGGTCACATTTACATCTTTGATCTTTAGTGATATGTCATCAAAGGCATAAGAAAAGAATGAAACCCATGCATTTTATGAATTTAAGGGGCCTGAAAAATTGGAAGCAATATGCTTACCTCAGGGAGCTCAGGGAGGGGCTCAGGAAATGGGAGAGTCTACAATACCTCTCAGTTTCTTGGCTAATCAGTGAAGTGACAATTAAGTTGTGGGGGAAAGATGAGTTTAGTTTTAGACATACAGAATTTTTTGCATCTGAGGAATGTCTAGGAAGTAATGTGTCAGACCTCAGAAATTACAGACCATCAAATACCTATGTTCCTCCAATTTTGGTGGGGTTATATCTTGACAGATCTACAAGGAGCTGACAATATTGCATGATGAAAATGCGTTTGCTGAACCTAACCTACAGAACATCATAGCTTAGCAATGGGTACACCATAGGGCACTGACTGTTTATGATTATGATTATGTGTGTGGCTGTGAGCTCTGCCACTGCCCAGCACCGAGATCACAGAGTACCCTACTGCATATTGCTGGGAAAAGATCAATGATCACAATTTTAAGTGTGGTGTGTACTGAATGCATATTGCTTTTACACTATGCATTTCCTGAGTGTAGTTGGAAAATTCTAAATAGAATGATCATAAGTTGGGGGCCATCTGTAATGATATTTGAAGCTTTGGGCGTGGATGAGAGCACCCAAAGACAAAACACGTAGAATGAGAAAATAAGAGGGTTGAGGAGAGAATGCTTGGCAGCACGGTAATTTAGGGGGCTGGCAGCAGAAGAAGAGCCAGCCAAGAAACACAATAGGACAGAAGGATGTCACATAAGCACTGCAGGGAATGGGAAACACAATCAGAATTATTAAATGATGCTGAAAGTGAGACTGAATAGATGACAGTTGGAAATCGCCCTTTAGAAAAATGACTAGTAGGAAATACCTGCCAAAATCAAGAGGTGAGATTTCAAGTGGCTTAGTCTCTTCTTTCGCCTTTCCAGGATTTTTTGACTGCTGCAAAATAAATATCAGTTACATTTATATTCAAGTTATTAAAATATAAACCAAATGCTATTATAATGTGTAAAATATTTTATAAGAACCTGATAAAAAGAGCAAGCAATCAATAATTCACAAGTACTGAGAGCCTATGTGCTCGGCCCTATCCTCAGGATAAACAAGGAATAAAGGCAGTGGCTCCCATCTCCACTGTTTTGCATAAAGGAAGGCAGCCAGTTTGGCAAGGGAGAGACGCAGGCCTTATGGGGTGCAGTGGCAGAGGATAAAGCTGCAAAATAAGTCTGCCGTGAGATTACAAGGACTTTGTGTTTTGTCAAATAATATGGCTTTCATTCTGAAAGCTACAGAGAGGTTTTTGGGGGGCAAAGAAAAGTCCTCAACTGGACATTTATTTTCTACTTGACTCTGGTAGCAAAGTAGCCACTGGCCTGGAGGAGTCCAACGTATGAGACAGGTAGGAGAAAGGTTTCCAGGAACTACAATACCTGAATGACAGCAGTGACCTAGGGATGGGCCAGGGCGCAAGATATTTGTTTGTAATATCAACAGGTCACTAGGATATGACTGAATGTACCCTTTGGAAAGAAAACATCAAACACGAATGGAAGAAAAATTTTGTGTAAAATTTCTTGCTTGTCAAAGACCATAATTAAGACAATGTCTTTTACTGAAACAAGGCAACATGATTGTGCTTTCATCAGGGTTGCACTGAAAGAACAGGAACAGGGAAGTCCAGCCCCAAGTCTGGAGGTTTTCCACACCCAGCTCATGGGCTTCCAGGAATGACCTTACATGCGGTAAAAGGTAATTAGGACGCAGGATGGAGGTTTGTGGGCATGGCTTTGTCTGGCTCCCATGAAAGCACACCACTTAGACAGCTGCCTGTCACAGACACAAGGAAGGCATCAACTGTCCAACTATGCCTCATTATTTCTTTCCTGGGAACTGTGCATAGAGGAGGCTGCTCAAGGGTAGTCAGAATCCCATGCATGCAAGGAGCAAGAAGTTCAAACTCATATCCTGCATTTCTTCTTCTTCCTGCTTGGCACAGAAAAACAAACAAACAAAAAGATTAATGACTACTGAGTTTTTAACTTGGGTCCCTGGATGGGCGAAACTATTCTATAGTTTACATAAGTTATTGAAATACAAGAATAGCATTATATTGTGTTACAGAATGAATAACAAATCTGAGCCCACAGCCATAAAACATAGTCCTAAGCATTCAGCTGTTTCCTTGCCACATGTTCCTACTTGGATACTTTCTTCTTCCCAGGCAGTGGAATCGAGTACTTTTGTGACAAACAGATGTAGTGGAAGTTACTTTTTTAGGATGTTTTTACATATCCACGGCCACTATGTCCTAAGAAGGGTAGAGGAAATTGGTGGAAGTCTGATAAAAACGTAAATGGGGAAGAAACAGATCTAACTAACATGAAGCCATACTTTTAAGGCAAGTGACCAAGAAGGGGTTGGTCCCAAATGGGCGGTGCCAGTTTGCTGCACCTGTGACATCCTTGGATTCCCCATTTATCTCAGTTGCACAATGTGGGGAACTCAAGCAAGGACACCAGGCGAGTAAGTGGACGTCCTACCCTATAAAACCTCCATCAAGACCAGCCCAGCTCAAGATAGCTTTCAGTAAAAAAAAAAAAAAAAAAAATAGCCTTTCACCTGGCATCAGTGGCACTTTGGTGACACGTCGGTAACTGACCTTGCAGTGCTGCTGTGACTGCGGGGAGGCCTCCCTCCCATCCTAACTCCCAAATGGAGTTCCAGGCGGTGTCAGAGGGCGGGCTGGCAGACCCCTCACATCTTCAACCACAGTTAAGTAGGCCAGGAAGGTCCGGGCCTCAGTCACGCTATTTCTCAGCTGATTGTTCCTCTCTTTCCTTTGATGCGGGCATTGCTCCAAAGCGAGGCTTTTATTCACCCTGCACACAGCGGCTGCAAGCATCACCTCCCTACCCACCGGAGAGCAGGCGCGCCCTTGCTGCCCCGGGAGGGTGAGCGGCCCCTCCGTCACCTGCGGGGTCCCCCTGGAGGGAGAGGCAGGTACTTCCCTACCTCCCCGCCTCCGCGAGCCTGCGCCGACCCCGGAGCGCCGGGGCGGTTCTGCGCGCCCCTCGGTGCGAGCCAGACTCACGGGCTGCCGCTTGTTGCTCCCGCAGCTCGACTTGGGGAAGTGAAAATGAAATTGACTTTTGCGAGAAATGATGAAAGCGGCGCAGCCTGCCAATGAACGGCGGCGGCGAACTTCCGCACCCCGCGGCCGGCGGCTCGGGCCCTCCCTCGGCCTCCACCTCCCGGTTGCACAAGCTTGAAACAAACACTGTGCAGGAAGGGCGGAGGGAGGCGGGAGCGCGGAGGGAGGCGGGGAGGGAGCGGGCGAGGAGGCGGGGGGCGGGGGGATTTCCAGGCTCGGCGCTTCGCAGTTTCCTCTCCTTGTTTTGCTTTCGATCTGGACTGTTCTCAGACAAGCCGGGGAGTAACTTTTAGTTTTGCTCCTGCGATTATTCAACTGACGGGCTTTCGTTTCCATTTCACACACCCTAGCAACACTTATACCTTGCGGAATTGTATTGGTAGCGTTGAAAAAGCACACTGAGAGGTAACATTTTTCAAATAATAGTTGTGACTGTGCGTGTTTCTCTCGAGGGCATGTTTATGGGGACTGGAGGAGCTGTGTGTGTATGCGTGTCCCGATGCTTTGACACGGTGTTTCGTGGACGGAGAATGACGGGGTTCATAAATATTAATACTGATTTCTGGAGGAACAGTCGGCGCAATTATGGAAAATCTGAATTTAGGGGAAGCAGGTTGTGCTGCTGTTGCTACTGGCACTGGGGCTGCTAAGGCTGCAAGGAGGAGGAGGAGGAGGTAGGAAGGGAGGAGGAGGAGGAGGAGGTTGGTAGAGGTTTAATTTCACTTTTGGATTTGCAGATGTGGAGAGGTGGCTCCGCGGACGCAGACCTGCTCTGTGTGGTTCTGCGCCCCAGGTGTCGTGGGTGGGGGTGCAAGTCCACCCGAGCGGGGCCTCACTTAAAACAAGATTGCCGTGTGTCTGTCTGTGTGTTTGCAGCCGCCGTCGCGCTCGGAGCCCGAGGAGGGCAGCGGGGCTCTCGGTGCCCGGTGGCGGCGCCTCTCTCCGGGCAGCCTCCGGCGTAAATAAGCAGGCGCCCGCCGCCGGCTGCCCGCGCCCGGCCCGAGCGCCTCCCGCCGCGGGGTCGGGGAACTTGGGGGCCCGGCAGGAGCGGCGGAGCCGGCCGGCGGGCTGGGCGCGGGCCTTCCCGGGGGCGGGCGCCGCTCGGGCGGTGCTCGGAGGGTGCCGGGTCCTCCTTCCCGCCGGCCGGCGCTCGGCCGGGCGCCGGGGCTTTGTCGCTGCACTTGTCCCGCGCGGGGGCGCGGAGCGCGGGGTCACCGGCCTGGCCGCGGCCTAGCGCGCCGCCTCCCGTCCCGCGGGCGCCCCCCGGCCGGCCTGCGCGCTGGGCCCGACCCGCCTCGGCCGCGAGCGGCGGTGGGGGGGAGGCCGGGCACCGGGAGGCGGCGGCGGGCCGCGCGGGCGACGTCCCCGGGGCCCGGGCTGGGCGGCGGTGCGAGCGCCCGCCCCGTGCCCTCCGACCCGCTCGGCGCCGGGTGACATCGCCCCCGGCCGATCACGGTTGGTGCAAAGCCGCGGCCGCCACTTCCTCTCGCCGCGCGGGCCGGGCTCCCTCGGAGCGATGCCGGCCGCGGCCAATCGCGGCGCCCGCGCTCCCGCGGCCCGGCCTGGGGCCGGCGAGCCTCCGCCAGTGCCGGGTGTCGGCGGGCCGATCCGTCCCCCGCGCCGGCACCCCTGCTGGCCCGGCTCCGGGTGCGTTTGGCGCCTCTGAAGGAGGCGAGGGAAGCAGGCTGGTGGCCCCAGCCGGGCGCGAGGACTGTGTCCGGGCACCAGGTGAGACGCCCGTTTCTGCCGGTGGAGTCGGGACGCTTGACGACGGACTATTAAATGTGGCTCCTGGCACTGGCGGTCGAGCTCACCGCGTATTAGCAGAGTGTCTTTCTTTCCTGGCAAGCCCTGCAGTGTTTGAAACTTGGAGGCATGGTGCCCGCTCCCTGCCCCTTGAGTCTCCTCCCTCCAGTGTGGGCACTGGGTACTGCTCCCTGTCCTTGCTGTGGCAGAAGAACATGTAGCGTCGGTGTAAAAGAGGCAAAGTGGTGCTGACATTTTCCTTCTGCCACTGCCCTCCCTGTGGCTGTGCGTCGGTCTGCTTTTGATGAATGGCTCAGGGTGGAGGATAGTTACATTTCCTGTTGTGGATTTTCAGGAATCACCAAAGTTGCCGTCTAGCCTGCAGTCATTTATTAGTTTTCAGATGACTGCAAGGAACACTGGAATTTAGCAGCCTGTACTTCCTGGTGCACAGGAGCAGGTGGGACCACGGTGGACGTTCAGGGTGTGAGAAGCCAAGCCAGTCCCTCACCAGGGCCCCCAGCCTGACCCTATTTAACTTCCTCCAACACACAGATTCAGGACTCTCTGGTTTCCTCAACCCCCTTTCTTTCTTTTTCTGGGTGTGGGGTGGGGTGGGTGGGTAAGGGGAGGATACAAAAATAGGAACCTAAAAAATCCTGAAAAACTTTTCTGAGGTAGCTTCAATAGATGGCTTGTATTGGCGTCTGTTGGGGTAACCTTGGAACATCTATTGATTGATGAGGCAAAGTCCGGAATTTCACAGTAATTAGTGAATGATTGTAATTTATAACTTAGCCTGTTGCGTAAGAAGTTAGATTCTGGCCTCTTAGATCCAAGAGTGCTTGTCCGTTATGATTTGTAACTGCTTCTGTATATTGAACATTTACGTATTTCCCTCTCAACGAGTTGTCTTTTTTTCTATTGATCTTCACAATCTAGAAATAACGTTCCACATATTTTAGGCTTAGTTACCTGTAAAAATGTCATCATACTCAAAAATAAGGAGTGTAGTAAAACCTTAGGCAAATTCTGACAAATGGTTGCCATAAAGTCCTGACCGGATTGTGAGCTGTGGTCCTACTGTTTGCTTACCCTATGTCTTGAAATACTTTATTTAATATGCCAGAGCTAAAGATGTTTAAACTCAGTGGTGGAAAATGTGAAACTTTGAATATTCAGTATTTGATGTGCATCAATTTTTCTCATATTGCCAAGGATATTGTATTTTTATTCTTGACATTATCCAGTATAAGCTTTGTTGTTTTTAGAGTATTTTCACATTATTTCCTTTTGATAGTGCACAGACCACTGAATTCTAAATTCGGTATCTGGGTCATGGTTCCCTTATCTGCCTTCTACCAAAATAAGCACGCCAGGGAATTATTTCTGTGTTTAATAAATATGTGTAGAATATTAACTGTGCACTAGACGCAGTGCTAGGCAGTGTAGATCCACCTGAGAACTAGAAAACCTCTTTACTCTCTTCTAGTTTGTGAGCGGTTGACAATAAACAACTAAAAATAAACGGGGTAATTATCTTTTGGGATTAATTCTACAGAAGGTAATAGTAATTATGCAGATAGGACTGTTTCCAAGAACAATCAAGATACTGTGTATGAAAAAATATTTGGGTAAGTTATAGCAATCACAAATGTGGAACGCATTAGCTATCAGATTATTATTCAAGTTAAAAAAAAAAAGTCAAGGAATCACCAGTGGATCAGATAATTGACTTTCTTATAAAGAATTTCTAGCAAGAAAAAAATTTTACTTCTTCTGAAAGTGTGTAAATAATGTTAAGAATCAAACCTATATAATATATATATATTATATAAAAAATATTTAACAATGAAATATATTATCAGTCTAATCTTTTTTTCTGGCAAAAGAAAAGTTAGGAGGTATCCATGGAGATGAAATGTTGGAAATAACAGTGATTGGGCCAGTGTATTTTTCCCACTTTGTATCAGTAAAACATCTTTCCAATCCTTAGTGTGCTTTGGTCTGAATTTTCTTACCCGTGTGTCACAATTCCATGTCCGTTATTAGACATTCACTTAACTGATTTCAGTATTTTGCTATACCATCTTTCAAGGGACTTTCAGTTAACTTACTGAAAACTTACTATGTATGTAATAGTATATATGATAACATGTAAAAATACATGTATATTTGTTATGTACTATAAAATACTATATTGAAAATTGTGAAACATCAGTATTGAATAATGAAGAGTTTCCTCTGTGTGGGGCACTGTGTTCCATGCCACAGTGGAGCAGGAGGTCAGGGCTTTCTGCTGCTGTCTGCCCCATTTGTGCCCTGCGGTTGGCCTCAGTGGATCAGTGTTAGATATGGAGGCTGAGCTGAGGAATAGCTTTTATGGTGGGTGCGGCTGATAAGGAAAGAAGGGACTGAGAAGGTTTGCTTGGACTTTGATTTGTCCACAAAGAATGATAAATTACCTGTATAAAACAGACTTAAACTTGAAACCAATAATATTTTCTAATAAAGTACTGAAGAAAACATGCATCAGGAAATCCACCCCCACACTGCAGACGGGGGGAGGCGGCAAGGTTGACCCGAGCAAGCAGGCTTGCGATCCTCAGCTTTTTTTACCTTCAGAGATTCCCTTTAAAATGACTACCCCACCGCAGATGCCATCTTTTTGACAAACTGTCTCTGAAACAAATTGGTTACCTACATAAAACTTCCTAAGAAACCTACATGGGCCCCTCTATATTACATGCCTTTCAGTTAGAACTTCTGGCCTGCTTGAGAAAGCTAGTATTATCAAGTCTAGTTAATCTTACTCCAGCCAACTGTGGAAAACCTTGGAGTAAAGAGTAAGGGCAGATCCATGTTAGATAAAGCCACAGTCCCTCAAGCTTCCTGAGGTATGAAACCAGGAGGACCTTTCCCCAGAATGCCAAGTTCTGTTGGGCATCCAGAGACCCCATGCAAATATTGTACATGAAGAATAATTACATAATTATAGTAGCCTATGCACCGAGTGTGTTCATGGTACTCGGATATCACGCTGTCTCACATTTATTAGATATTCCTTGACAAGCAGCTATGGACAAGGCTCTGTAGAAGTGGGAGGTACAAGAACTCAGAAGCACGGAGTTCACTCTTCCTGCTTTGGTTAACTCTCTAGTCACACCTTTGGGACCTTACTGGCTTGATAGCCCTGTCAGCCTTAGGTGCCAGGAGGTATGTGTGTTCTGAGAATGCTCTGGGGAGGGAACTTACCGAAACCAATGGAGACCCTTTAGGCTTGAGGCTGTCTGCAGCCCTCCCTCCCCTTCCCCTCCTCTCCTAAAAGGACCACCCTCCTACTCCCCATTGTGTCAAATGCCCATCATCTCCCCAAGG